TTGAATAGCACTCCTTGTGGCCGCTAGGTCATTTAAATTTGCCTTCCATTTTGCAGCTTATTTTGTTAACGTGGAGCTATATGATGGTAGTCTTTCGGGACCCTGGTTCTGTACCTGATAACTGGCAATTAGTATCAGAAGAGGATTTAGAAGAGGGTAACCCCACCTCAATTTCTCACAATTTAGGACCTCAAACTTCAGCCTCTGCATTGTCAGACGGGACAGAAATTAGACCAGCCATACGCTACTGCAGTCAATGCCAAAATGGCAAGCCACCTCGATGTCATCATTGCTCCATTTGTAAGCTTAAGCTTCTCTTCAGTTTCTTCTTTATCTTAGCAATGGGAGTAGGTAAATAACTGTTAATGGAGCTTCAGTTCCCTTACTGTTTTTCCCTGCCAAAATTTCTCTTAGCCGTGGAATAGTTTATATCTCATTTGAGTCCTTTTTTCAACACTGTAAAGAATAAACATCTAATTATCTTTGAGAGGAATAGTTTATATCTCCACTGGTCTTGGTATCTCTGTGGATTATTTGGCATGGTTATGTCTTTTCCCGCTGTTAGTGTTACTACTCATTTGAATAATGTTTGTTAGCAGCTATCCACTTTTCTCCTTTCATTTTGGAGCTCTGTTTTCTCCCTTCTTTTCATTTCTCCTCTAGGGTTAGGGTATTTATGATGTTGATTTTTCTGCCAACCTTGCTGATGCTGCTAATTGTGTCAAAAGCAGCACCCAATTGTCTGAGGGTAACCCATTTATAAAATGCTAGGTTTTTTTTGACATTTCTGTTTCTCGTACTTTGCTGATCCTCCAAATTTTGGTTGATCTTGATATGTGTCCGTTGTATTATTTTCTCCATTTATGGGAAAAAAGGGGTTTTGGGGGGTGGGGGGGGAAGGGGAGAGAACAAAGTTACATGAACATAGCTGTCAGCTTTGCATAACTGCATTATCCTGGTTCATATATCATTTGAGTTATATACTTTTTTGTGGCTTGGATATTTCTTCAAGGCACATGCCTTTAAATGTTGGCTCTCTTGTGTTTAGGTTAAAACTGCTAACTGCATTTGCAGGCCAAAGATGCGTCCTTAAGATGGATCACCACTGCATATGGGTTGTCAATTGTGTTGGGGCAAGGAACCACAAGTTCTTCCTCCTCTTTGTGGTGATTTTGATATTCTTTCCCTTGTATCAAAATAGTTATGCATACTCTTTGCATGAGTTTTTACTGCATTTTATTGATCCTATATGTCTCTTGGACTAGGTTATTAAAACTTTAGAAATAGACAAAGGACCTTTGGCTGGGGTGGATGGGTACGATAAAGTACTGATATTGGCCTATATCACGGAAGATCTATAACAGATGTTGGTTAGACTTCATGTTAGTGCTTTACTTTATTCTGTCCCTGGAGGTGCATATTCTGTTTGTTTTCTAGTCATTTTTCCAATAATAAAAAGATTATTTGAATGTAATCTTTTGCGTTCCTTGTACAGACAATACTGGCACCTTGTTAAGTGGATCTTTTTAAGAAACCAATAATCTGATCTCATGAAAAATTAAAAGCTATTTCATTGTACTCGTTCAGTTAGATTGTTTCCTTTGCTTTGAGAGTTGACCCTCTGAAACACTGGTAGTAAGTCTCCAAACAGTCAATTTGCTAGGAAGTAGAACTGCACATATTTAAAAGATTTCAAACTAGTAGGAACAATATTCTCCTGCACCAATATTGAGTCCTACAAATGACACAGTATAAAAGCTTTAGTCTCCAGAAAAGCTTTTTGTCTGTTTCCTATTTAGATAACCACTTTTTGGCCTCGGAAAGCCAGTGCTTCTTCTTCCTTTTCTTTTCTTTTTGGTCAAGATATGTCCAAGGGCATCTGGGGGATGCTGGATTATGGTCAGCCAGGTCAAACTATTAAGCTCATTTTCGCTAGATGATCGACAAAACTGAGCTTCCAAGATCACACGAGTCCATATCAAGTAGGTTTTTTTGACATGATAGCACCTTGTGGTTCGCAGATGTCACAATGATGGTAGGTTTATATATGCGTGCACACACACGCATACATACATACAAGCACACACATATGTATGTATGTATATTTATATATTTTGGTGGTCCCCCTCTTCTTGTAAATCTTCTTGACCAAGCTGCACATATTTCTTGAATTGCTTTGTGTTTCTTTGCTCAATTCTGGACTAATATGCAGGGCATTTTTTTTTTCAGTTCTATACTTTTCTAGAAACAACGTTGAATACTGTTGTGCTGCTGCCAAGTTTCGTGAATTTTTTTGAGCAAACGAAGAAGCATTCTCTATCACCTGGCAATCTTGCTGTCACCTTTTTGGCCTTTGGTATGTTTTTTCTCCCACAGGTCATCAGCATTTCCATCAAGCATTTCATTCATTCTCATGGATTCCTCTTTCTTACAGATTTTGTGCCTTGATGCAGTTTTGAACTTAGCTTTTGCACTGAGTCTTCTTTGTTTCGTTATTATGCACACATCCCTTCTCTTGAGCAACACCACTTCAGTGGAGGTAATAAATCATATAAATCTTCAATTCTTCTTGGCTTCACATCGTTGTTCCAATTGTCTTAGAAGTGGTAAACTACTGGACATGATGAGAGAGAATGCATGTTTGGAGGTACCTGTAGTTTTGAAAAGATATGTTTTAGCTGGAAGCATGTTTTGATTCTGGATTTGAGCTCTCCTAATGTAAATCGAAGATAAAAGTTAGTTTAGTTGATATCGTATGCAATCCCCACTTGCAGAGTCATACAGTGATGTCGTGTCCCCTGAATCAGTTTTAAGTCCTTTCTTTTGTGTATATCATGGATACATTGACCAAACATATACTGGATGAGGTACCATTGGTTTCTTCACATGCTGATAGTATACGTTTGGGAGAAGATCAGTAGGATAATTAATGAAGTTCGTGATCAATCGAGCCAATAAATTCCAATATGGATCAAAGGATATCGGTTAAGTTAACTTGGGGTGCTGCAAACCAAAGATTTCAATCAATGAGCATGAAATCCCAAGACTTTGCAACCACTAATTAAAGCTTTGCAAGTTGTCTTTCACACTGGATTTTCTTGATAATCTTACTCTGCCTTATCCTTCAGGTTTATGAGAAGAAAAAAGCTGTACACTGGAAGTATGATCTAGGCCGCAAAAGGAACTTTGAACAGGTAAAACTTTATGTTTTTACTGTTTTATTTTACTTAAAGTAAAGCGATTGTGTAGGATTATGTATCAGAACTACTGTTGCAAATCATGGTAAGAGTGGTTCTTTTGAGAATACTCTTGGGGTTTTATTGGGTACTTGGCCTCAATGAGAACAATATTTTCAGCTATTATCAGTAGGGAATATTCCTGGTACTTTTTCAATTCTGACTACATGATTTTTCAAATACAATGTGCTATGTAGTTTTTTTAGTTTAGATTGGGGAAGACGTGCATGCATTTCTGACATTATTTTTCTTTTGCCCCCGCCCCAAATTGTTCTTAAGGTTTTTGGTACTAAAAAGATGTTCTGGTTCTTCCCATTATTTTCCGAAGAGGACTTGAAGAATATTCCCGCACTTCATGGTCTAGACTTCCCAATTCATTCAGATACGGTAGAATGAGCTCTTTCTCTGTTCCACAATGTATGAATTTTTTTTTTTTGTTTTTGTTTTTGGGGAGAGGGGGGGGGGGCGCTGTAATATCTGGTCATAGCATTTGTTCCGTACATTACAAATCATTTAGAATATGTATGTTCTTTTTAAACCATATTTGGGCAGCTGAAAGATACCTGTTACTTTAGAATAGCTTGCATTTGGAGAATTGTGATAGTGGGTTTTATTTGGATATTTGCTTTAAGATAAGACGTAGAGTGCAATGAATAGCCACTTTGGGGAACACCATTATGAAATAGGAGCAACTAGCAAGGGGATTGCTACTCATCCTCAACGCTGGGGGACTAGGCAGAATTAAATTTGCTGGTGAATATTGTGTCTTGCATTGAGCTTTATTGCGGATGTTTGCGTAGAACACATTTTTTTTTTTTAAAAAAGGCGGGCATGGTGGCGTTCTTTGCTGTATTTCTTGCGTTGATGAAGGATGAAGGAAAAGTGCAACCACTCTTACCTATTCAATCACTAGAATACAGGATGTATTTTTACTTGCGGGTATCATTCTCTCCCCCATTTATGGAGTTTTTGGGTGTATGGTTGACCCACTGCTAACAGTGTAGTCTTCTTCATGGCGCTAAGGTTGTTATCCTATTAAATCGGTCTGTCTGTCTGTCTTATACAAGCCACTACGAGTACGAGGTTGAGCTTATATTCTTCCTCTCTCTCTCTCTCTCTTTTTTTTTTTTTCTGGTGTTGGGGGTGGGGGTTGTAGTGAGTGTTGGTGGGTTCGCTATGTGGTGTTAGCGTCTGGGGTGTTGTTTTCTTGAAGGCTGTATGATTATGAAACAGGAGCAGAGGAATGGAATATTTTAATTCCATCCGGCCTCTACAATATCTTTCCTTTTTGGTTCTTACTCTCCTAGTAGATCTTTCTGTAGACTGACCAAGAAGGAAGCTTGGTTTTAGAGAAGGAAGTTTGCGTTGACATATTGAAACTTGGGTGGTACTACTGTCTCCCTGGTGAAGGCCACGTCCGTTCCAGGCTTCTACTACCTAATGTACTCCTCCTTCCTACTCTGTAAACCAACGCCCCCAGTTGGTAAATAATTGTAATAGTACTATGCCAAAATGACGCTACCAGTCAGTACTCTTATAAACAAACAGTACCAACTGAATATTCGACGGCAGTGCACAGGAAGATGCCTGCCTTCCGGCCCGCGTTAATCAGTACTTAGTAGTTGCTTATTTTATTGGATTGGGTAGGTCTGTGCAAGTGCAGGAGAAGGAGAGCGGGCTGGCTGCCCACCTTCGGGTGGTGGAGAAAGGCAAATCGTCGTAAAAATGCTCAACAGTCTGCGTCCGGTACAGAAGCAGAAGCAGTTGAACTTGAACAAGCTACAAAAACTTCTTATTGAATATTCGAATATTCAACTCAGTTACTTCTCGTAAATAAAAATGCCGCTGCTCCCTGAGTAATCTCGATTTGTTAGAACGATAGATGCCAGTAGCAATTTTAATCCCCCTATTTTCATGGAGCATGTTGGAGTTTATCTGTATCTAAGAGGATTCTTTTCCTGTTGGCTGCTGTTTTTTTTTTGTAGTACGTATTACTTATCATTCCAGCAATCAGCCATAATCCGCATCGCATGACAACCAACGAACTTCAGGTATTATCCCCCCCTTTTTTTTCTTGGGTAGCAGCAACTAGCAACAAACTCATTAAACAATTCCACAGAACAAGACCAACCCATCCTCTGATGATATGCACTCTCTCTCTCTCTCTCTCTCTCTTGCTGGGGGACAGAGGGTGTGGGGAAGATGGATGGATGGTGATGGGGGGAAGAGAAGGTGGGACTCACCGCCGAAATCAAAATCCCTTTCATAACTCACAGTTTTTTGTATGAGTGTTTCGATAAATGGACTCTGCGAAGACACTTCAAAAGCCGCCGAAATCAAAATCCGATTGATGAATTTTATGCATCATCTGTCGGGATCATCAGAGGATATAACGACCGTGGTGTCAACTGCTGGGTGCAGGTCGCCACCATCTTTATGATCTTCTTCACCTTCATTGGAGCTGAATATATGTGAGATGAAAATTGACAACCAAACAATTGCGGGAGTGACCAACAAAATGAGGCCGAAGGGCACCATCCATAGTTGACTGTTGGTGCGATGATGCCTGAGCTCCCAATGGGTCAACATTAGCCCGCCTACCATGCTTACTGAAAATGAAGCCAGGCAAGATATCCACGTCCCCAGTACTCTCCTCGGGAATCTTCTCTTATACTCTGCTGCATCTCTGCCTTCCTTGTATGATGATGATTCCATCCTGAGGAAAAAGATGGTAGCTAGCGCTCAATAACAAAATTTGGATAAAAACCACCCCAAAAACAAAAAAAAAAAAAAAAAAAAACCTACGTATCTGTCTATATTATGCGGATGTGGCTTCGGAAACCCCGCCTTAAAACTCTGAGACGCTCTATTATTTGACTACATCCCAAATTTCTATTCTATAACAAGTTAACAACAACAGGTAAGACTGGTACTACGAAAACAAGAAAAAGAGAGAGAGAGAGAGAGAGATAATACAAGGTTTGGTGAGACTGAACTCTGGATAACACCGCTCCGGTGACGATGAATCGATGATTGACGGAGTAATATTAAGCAGTAGAAAAGAAGGCATGATATGGTAGTGCAAGGCGTTGAATATATAAGAGAGGGAGAGAAGATGGATGATATTCCGTGTATCTGGAAGTGATTGAATTGGCTGGCTGGCAATCTAGTAAACTAAAAACTACTATTACAACTTTTTAACTAGACTTCTTTGAGCAACTTGACTTTTTAAGCGTAGGCTAAAAGGGAGGACTTGGGTGAGCAAAGAGTGGAAGCAGCTGGGCTGGGGTTAGAAGGCTCAAGAATCCATCCAATTACTTTGGGACACGCACTACATCCAGCTGAAACAGCCGGGGAAGGTTTCTTGCTGCTTCGCCCAGTTACAGCCTAGTAGACTATATGCATAATATTGATGATGGACTGCAGGACGCACCCGCAGCCAATTTAAGGAATTCCACGAGAACTCCTTGATGGATCATCTTCTTTATGTACATGCATCATCAATTCGTAGCCACATCCTAAGTACTCGTAGTAAATAGTAGATTAGCACCAAACCATACTCCTCGATCACCCTGCTCGACTGGGCTCAAACGTGCCTTTTTGTCGAAGTTGTTGTTAAGTACTGACACTTGATGTGCGTATATCCATACATACATATATGTATGTGTGTGTGTGTATATATATATATAAAGAGAAAAAAATTAGTCTCATCATGATGATCACTTCCTCCGTTACGTCTCAGCTTTTTGGGAACTACTACCACCACTAGTAAGTAAATACTAATAAGCTACGTAGACAGTTGTTATTTTGAGTGTGATGGAGATATCTGGGGAAGAATTCATCATTTGTTTATCTGGAGGAGGGAGGGAGGGATGGATGGATGGGTGGTCTAGTCTCTACCCAGTAATATTTCCTTTCCTTAAGTTAACTATTTGAGTTGTATTTGTCTCGTTACGTTAGATTGTATCCAAATAATATTTATTTGTTTGTTTTTATGTTATAAGTATTGTGAAAAAATTACAGTGAATTATATATTTACAATGATTTGATGATTTGTTGATATTTAAGATACTTAATTGTTGGCTGGAATTTGACTGAAATTTGTTACAAGGCAAATTTCTATTAACAGATGGGGAGAACCGGGCAGGTGCGGGGTCAGGGGAATGTTTGGGCAACGGGGTGGGAGGTGCCCGTAGCCATTCCTTTTTTTTTTTTTATCGATACGATAGAATTCCTATAATCTAAACTAGCCTATTCTAGAAGGGAAGGGGGAGGGGACTCGATGTGAGTTGAAACTCCATCGAAACTGGTCAATGAAGACCATCGTAGCCATTCCTAGACTTGCCCAAGTTTGTCCATTTTAAGCTTGGGCCTAGATTTTAGGCGGATACCCAGCGTGGCCTATTTGTAAAAATATGTAGTCCGTTAATTCTTGTATCAAATGGGGCAAGTTTGAGCTAACCAAATTACCGGACCAATTGACATTCCTATAAATAAGGCCCCGTTTGGTAAGTGGATTTTTTAGCTATTTATTTAAAACTTTACTGTAACATATTGTAGAAGTTGTAGAAAAAAATTTTGAAGAGTGTAAATTTTTAAATATTTTGAAGTGTATAATTTAAAAATTTTGAGAAATTTTTTGAGATTACTATAGTTACAATTGTTAAAAAACTTGTAGTAGACAAACTTCGCCAAAAACTTGCTTGTCAAATAAGGCCAAGATTCTTCTATTCGATGTCACAAGGTAACAGGTGGAGCTAGTAATATTCTATTTGCAAAAGATAAAAATTTTCCATGCAGAAATGTAGGCAAAATATTGATTAGAGATACATACTGTATACATATATACACACATCATTAAACAAAATGGCTGCAGAATATATCACATGATTTACAAGCGGTCCTACCCTAAATAATTTTCGTACACAATTTTTTTCTGAGGCAAAACTGTAACTTTTATTGATAAGGGACAGGTATATTTATATACGAGATAGAATATCTCATTTTACATGTTAAACCAACTACCACAGGAGCCTATATCGGACCATTACACTGACTAAACACTGTGAACGGGAATACTCCATTCCAAAGCCAATTTCCAGCTTTCATGAGACTTTGGGATCTGTCCCCATGCAAGAGCCACATGCCTAATCTCTTCTACCATAGCTTCCATGGAGAAATTTCTAAAATTATGATGAATTTTTAAAAAATTCTACAAAGGGGACATTTTGAGTATGAGATTCCGTTTAAGGGGTCTTCGCATTCAGCAAATGCAAAGTCTCCTTGAATTTTCAACCAACAAAATCCAAAAAAAAAAAAAAAAAACCATTCGCATTTATGCGAGGTCAGTTACCTCGCATCTCTTAAATGTGAGATCACTGAGATGCGAGGTTAGTGAAAAGACACAGAGCATAGCCATATCTTTTATGCTGTTTCTGAGCAATAGAGCATAGCCACGAATTTGAAAGCCATTGCCAAGTGAAAAGAAAATGTGCAGCGCAAATGGGACACAAAATTGGTTGGGAAGTCCTGTTGAGGTAGTAAAAGTGGCAAATTGGGAAGGGGGGAGAGAGGCGCAGCTGGCTAGCTTGGCAGAAACGGGTTCCAAACAGGGGTTGAAGCTCTACAATGGTGGGGAACTTCCGACGAGAAAGATGTGAGGGATTCCGTCTGCCGATCCTGGAAGCTGCAACTCTGTTGTCTAGCTCAGCAAAAGAGAAGAGAGAGTGAGCTCCAATTTCTGCCGATTAGGAGACAGATTTGAATGCCTACTGTTTAGGTCTCTCTACATTGATTGGTGTTTGTATAGCGTTTGAAGTGAATTCTTGGGTCATTTTTTGTAGAAAGGCCAAAGAAGAAAAGTTGAGAAGAGAAGGATTCATCAGCGGATGTTCTGACAAAGCAAGTGGTTCAAGCAGAGGTTAAATTGAATCACTGCTTTTGGGGACATTTCAGATTCAGTACCTCGCATTCGAGAAATGCGAGATACCTGAGCTCGCATCTGGCGAATGCGAGCTTGGTAAGTTCGCATTTGCCAAATGTGAGCTTTGTTGCTGTTTTTTTTACTTTTTCCCAAAAGCTTTCTCTTTTTTGGTGAAACACTGACCTCGCATTTGTGAAATGCGAAGTCTTTGAACTCGCATTTCACAAATGCGAAGATCATACTCCTAGAACTAGTTTCAAAAATTACTCCCCTGAATATAGCAGCATTACGTGCCCTTCAAATATCATAAATCACCATAGAAAAAACAAGCTTTTTGAACTGCTGCACAAAAGTCTCACCAGTCCAATGTTTAGATACCCACGGAAGCTCCTCCTCCAGTGCACCAATCCCTCTAAATGTCAAACACATTCTCTGAGCTTTTCCCCAAATCATGGATGAAGTTTTGCACATAAAAAACAGGTGATCAATGCTTTCTTCAGCTGCAAAAAAAAGCTCTTGGCCCTTGCTCCCTCAATTTCTCCATTGCTGTTTTCACCAAAAAAAGCTCCTGAGGCACTATAGCTGTCCACCGAACATGATCCGACTGTCGAGATAGAGGAACAAATTCTTAAGGAGTTGCATCCAAAAGTTGTTTTACCTCTTTAGTGAATTTCCTTCCCAAGGGCCACTTCTATTGATTATTTGAAATACATTTAGCTACTGAATCCTGCATATTGCAACCGAAGCAGTATAGTAGATTTCTCGAAAACTTCTTGAATAAAGGGCCAATTGGATGCCATGACTCAAACCAGAAATTTGTCGCTCGTCCATCTCCTATGACTGTTTGGATATAAGGCTGAGCAGAAGATCTTAGGGCCAGAACTTTTCTCCAGACCCAAGAGGCATCAGAAGGAACTTTTGACCTCAAAATGAAGAATTTCTTAATAACACCTCATGCACCCATAAGCTATCTTTTTTGCAACAAATATTCCATGTCAACTTTATTATAAGACATTTACTCTAGATATGCAAATCATATAATCCCAGACTTCCTTCAGATTTTGGAGCACATACCTCATTCCAGCTGACCTTAGCATTGTATCGACTTCTAATGTCTCTTGCCCATAGAAAAGAGACCAAGATGCTTTTAATTGTTGTAACAATAGACTTGGGGAGTGTGAAGGCACTCAACCAGAAGAAGGCATGGATTCCATCAAGAATCGTTTTTATGAGTTTTATTCGACCTCCATAGCTTACTTTTTTGCTGCCCAATTTCGCACCTTCTTCTGGATTTTGTCAAAAATAGTTTTGATAATCCTTGTGAGTAAGCCTAGTTGTTATCGTAGGCAATCCCAAATATTCTTTTACGGGGAGTTCTCCTCATGACATTGGTACTAGACTACATAACTGTTCAGCCAAATGATCATTGACATCTGCTACAAATACTGAGAATTTTTTTTGAAAATTTGGCTCAAATCCCGACATGTTACTAAAATTCTTGTAGAGCTTTGCTAATCGCTCTAAAGGATTTTTCAGATGCCCCGGCAACAAGAACAAGTCATCAGCAAACCCACTCTTTTGCTTTGTTAAGTAGTAAGTATATGAATTTCTCTCTCAAAAATAAATTATACTATTATGTATTTTTTGAAAATAAACAATATCAAAGTGTCATGTGTTGTCAATTATCTATAGAATATATTAAAGCATGAAATTAATGTGTGGTGTTAACACAAGTGATCGCTTTATATATTTCCTTTTATACCCTTACTGAATGTGGTAAAATAGTCCAAATACTTTCAAATTAAAAAAAAAAATATGGTTGTTATATGCAAAGCTGTAAATTAATCAAAAATCTACACCATTTAAACTTCTCTAACTAACATATTATACGCAACTCTATAATATTCAAAAATTTCCAATTCTCTTTGCCCTTTAAAGTTCTTACTACACTTGCAATTTCTTAGTTTTTTTTTCGATTAGTGTAAGTAGGAGATCTCGAATCCTGAACCTCTCATTTACACTTTCTCCCTCTATATCATCCAATCTATCTCCCTCCTTAAATGTTCTTCAATATTCTCTAAATTGAGAAAAAAATTAAATTTTACAAATACTATTTTATTAGTTACACAGATATTGAGTGTGCACTAGTGATTATAAAGGTTCATTTACCTTATTAGATGATTACGATGAAAATCTAGAGAAAATCTATTGGTAATAGGTTGGTCATCAATCAATATCACCACCTATTTGATTCATGGATATATTTTAAATATCTCAAGGAGTCAGCTAATTTGGGATTGCAATAAGTGTATTTTGCAAATGTTGAATGTGGTGCCCAAAATTTTTTTTTTTCCTTATTTTATATCTATTCTATTTCTTCTCATGCATTTTCTTTATATTACTTTATTACCTTAATTTTCTAGATATTTTTATAAGCTAGTCAAGCTTTTAAATCATTTTCTTGGTATAAATTAGTACATGTTAAGTTTGAAGTGTATTATGGACGTAGGACCGCTAGTGCGGTAAGTGCGTTAAAATTTTGACGACTAATTGGAGTTTTGCATAAAGGGATATTATTTTACAAGGTACTAAGAGATAATTAGAGGTTAACTAGATAGATTAGTTTTGGAAGACAAAGAGATGAGTATAAACCCTAAGGTGCCATTTGTTGCGAAATCGTTGGAAGTTGGACCTTTGACCAAGACCATGATTTCTTCTTCTTATCTTGACCAAAGCTTTTGTTTTCATCATTTCTTCTTCTTGTAAGCATCATGGACGACATTTTGAGAGAGAAGAGGGAGGAAAAGCTTCATTTTTCAGCCATAATTTTTTGCTCAAATAAGAGAGGAAACATGTTTGCTCCATAAATGCTTGAATCAAGCTTGGAGAGCAGTCTTGGAGGAAGAACTTTCTTGAGCTTCTTGGTGGCTTTCCTCTTAGGTTTTGATGGAAAAATGAGATAAAAGTACTAGTAACCCACTAATCTTTGAAGATACTTGAGTTTATATGATTGTATGTTGGATTTGAGCCATGGAAGTTAAGTTTTGTTGAAGACATCTCTTGTTTTCCAATTATTTCTTTGCTGCCAGCTTTATTCCAGATTTACACTCACCACTTAAACTGCATATTCATCCATGATAAAGGTCAAATCAGTTCTTGCTCAAAACATGAAAGTTGTAGGGATTTGAGTTAGATTTCTATCTAGAAAATTTCAATTCAATCAGAGCACTGTAACTTGTGAAATGACTAAAATACCCCTAACTGCCCAAATGCCCTGTTTAACCGACAGCTTTCTGTTTTCTCTGAGATTTTAATTTTTGACCATGAAAATGCATGATTTGGCTTTCGAGGTCTTCATAATAAATATAGGCCTATGTCTTAGATTCGAAACGCCTTAAGATTCATCTCAATCCGATAAGTGTAGCTTCAGTTGTGATTAAAATACCACAAGGTGAGAGTAACTTGATGATTTTAGAATTTCCTTTGCTTGATATGACATTTGTGATCTAGGGCTTGGATTTGAGCAAGGAAACTATCTATGATGGACGAGAATCATGAGCTGTAATTGGTGAGTGATTCCAAAAATGTTTCCAAAGTTACTTTTCGAACTATTTCTTGCACTGTTTACTCGACTGCATATCATGTGTGCTTGCGTGTGTGTCATGCAATGATTTGGCTCAAATGAGTGCTTGGAAAGCACACCAACGTCTCCACCTTAATGACACTTGACTTGCCTTGAATGTTGGAGCACCGATGGCTCCATTGTATTACTTGACTATTACTTGATTTATTTGAGTGTTGGATATTTAAGTACAATGATTTCACTAGCTCACAAGAGCAATAAACTTACATTTGATCACTGATTCATGACATCATCTAAATGCACTATTGCGAAACTTATTTGATTATTGATTTTTACTGGACACTCGCTGAGTTTCTAGCTCACCCCAAAATATTTATTTCCTCTCTACAGAGTTCGAGGCAAAGGAAGCACTTGTATTAACTTATTAGTGTGACCGGATGGAATATCTCATGTATATTTTGAATTTCGATTCACTTGTGATCCACTATAGTGAGTCCTGGCGAGAGTTGGGCAGGCGGTCCGATGAGCCCTTTGATTTGCCTTAGGGGGAGGTGGGATCGTCACATTGAACCCATCCCTCTCCTCAACCAAAAAAAAAAAAGCAAAGTATAAATTTAAACGGACAAGAGATAGTGGAGCAATTCAACCTTTTGGTTGATTGAGAAACTCGAAAAAGAAATTTTCATAAAGAATTAAGGAAAGATTCGAAAGGCAATATGATGAATTTGCGAGTCCAATTGTCGCATAAAACAAGTATCAAGTATATAAAATTATGTTTTTTTTCATGTTACAGTACATTGAAAAGAAAAGAGGATTGTAATATACACGGAATCGAGACAAGTATGATTGAAATAGATACGATTAAATATAGTTATTGTTCTTCATCCATAAAGTAATGTAAATTAACATACACGATTGTATGTATTGAGTAGGTATATATAATAAATTTTGTATTGAATTTGTATGCACAATAAATTCTGTGACTACAAAAAGCACACCATATTATGTATAAAGTATAATAACCGGGTAATAACTGTACCTAAATTCCAACTGTACTTGCCTTGAGTCCTACATACACCATACCTCCATGTGGCGTGGTAATTAAACAAATTCAAACCTACAAATACTTGTGGGTAAAAGTTGAGAGTGGAAGAAAAAGGTTAATATAGATTTGAAAAGTATAATGGAATTACGTACCTAATTCTAATCAAAAGAGGAGTAGGGTGCATTTTTCCTAACACAAGAAAAGGGTTAAATGCAGTTTGCATCTCTCAAATATTCCCGAATTCGACCATACACCATAAACTTTTAATTTTCACAATTAACATGTTCAACTTTGAATTTTTTACACCATTTTGAATCAAGCTCAAAACATGGAGAGCCATGTGACCAGTATACCCCTTAATTTTCAGTGAACTTCTAGATGCACCTACAAAGACCACTAGAGGTGAATTCCATGAAATCCTTCTTCTATTTTCTTCTTCTCTTGCGATTCATCATCATATTTTCATCAATGTTAGAATCATAACCTGTAACATTAATGGCTGAAAAAAAATCAATAAATTCGTTTTTATCATGTAAGACCCACTAATTTTTTTTATAATAAAAAGGCTTTCAAAACATAAATCATTACCTAAAATCATCAGAAAAAGATGATTAAAAAAATCCCAAAGCAAAACTTACCACCAACCGCCATATCACCACCATCGCCACCACTTCTGTCACTATCACCACAAATTAAAAAATGCGTCTTCCTTAAAATAAAAATTTTTCAAATACAAATTTATACCTAAAAGATTATCATAAAAAATGTTAGATTGAGAAGTACCTGATAGTCATATCTCATACCTTCGATAGCTACCCTAACACTACCACCGCAAAAACACCACCCTTTGCACCTTTTTATTTTTACTTTTTTTTTTTTGTTTCATCCCTCAAACAAATAGATAACAAAAAAAAAAAAAAACAACAACAAATCTCCAACTCCATGATCTCCCCCTTCCCCTCGTCCTTCTCCTTTGTTCTCCAAGATTGCAATCCTTTGCCTTCTAAACAACCTTTGCCCCTAAAAACCTTCTTTTTCTCTTCCACCTCTTGCCACCCTTATGAAGCCCATCTCCTCTGTCACCTAAAAAAAAGTATTACAATACCTTGCTTGACCTTCCTTGCTCAATTGCTAGTTGTCACTCTTAATAATAATCTCTGCCTGGTAAAGTAGTGTTGATGTTGCTGCTATCTTCTTTAGGCCCTAGGGGTAGTTGCAATTTTTGGTTTACGAAGATAGGAGAGACCGTCCAACTTTCTTTATTGGCTTGATTATCATTTTGTTATTGGGTTTATTACATCATATATGAATCAATGAGGTTGAATAAGTCATTTGTCAATGCTAGAGGGATACATGCAATATGATTCAGTTTGTCGGAATATATCTTAAAATTTGAAGGTATTAATTATAGAAATTAAAAGCTTAGGGTATAAAGTCTAATTTAGAGATAGTAGAGGGGCGCAGAGCGCAATTAATCCTGAAAAAAGGGGTAACAATGAAAAAGAGTAAGAAGATGATAATAATATAACATAGAAACAAACTCATCTGGCCATATCCCGTCTGCATCATCTGGCCATATCCCGTAACAATCCAATACTCCCGCCCAGCCCCGCGTCTATTCCGCGGCTTGCAATGAATGGATAGAGAGGATTAGACCTCGCATTCCCGACGGATTCATCAATCATCAATCATCAATAATCAATCAAATCCATTCCCCTATCTTCTTCTTCTTCTTCTTCATCACCAATCAAATCCATTCCCCTGTCATCAAATAAAGGATCTCACCCTACTCGGATTGGTTGGGGGACGGACGTACCAGTATATATTCCCCAGGCAGCAATGGAGTATCACCAATTTTTGAATTGATGGAGAAATCCTTTGTTTTTAGTTTGTCTGTCTGTTTCCTGAGTATCTTCCTGCCATAGTTCCATGGATTAACTTAACCATTGAATCCTTTGCTCACTACCTCTATACATCTATCATCTCCCCCCCTTTACCCTGATTACCATATATCAACCATTTCTTATCCGTCTTTAACTCTTTTTTTTTTTTTCAAAATAAAAAAGTCAGAAGGTACAATAATATTAGAAGCAACGAAACGATGATATCATTTTGAAACTTGACACCGACGACGTTGAATTTTGTACCGCGCTGCCGCTGCGCTAAGACGTTGCGGATGGTGGGTGTGGGGTGCATGCTCAATCTATCATTGGTCCGTCGTCCGGACTAGTTAGTACTACCCGTATCTTATACCCGTCGGTCGGAGGTAGGATTTTAGACAGAAGATGAATCATTCGTCGTCGTCCTCCTCAGCGGCCATGCAACAGCAGCCGGGATTAGGATTAGCAGCGATACGGACGCGGGTAGGCAAGTACGAGCTCGGGAAGACGCTCGGGGAAGGCAGCTTCGCCAAGGTCAAGTGCGCTAAGAACCTTCAGACCGGTGACACCGTTGCCATCAAAATCATCGACCGCGAACGCGTCCTCCGCCACAAGATGGTCGAACAGGTACCTCCTCATTCGTCAACTCCCCCCCTCCCCTCCCGGGGCCCCACTTTACCCCCATTCTATTTAAATCCAATCCCTTCCCATCCTATCCTAGCCCACCTATTCATTCTTTTACATGCATTATCCTCTTTATGTTTCTGCTGCACCTGCACCACCCACGGCACATCCCCCCAACCACCCACGCAACCCCACACACACTCAAAAACCAACATTCTTTTGTTTTATTATTATTATTGTTTATTTTCCTCTGTTAATTACTGGTATTGGTTTTCCCTATATTTGTTTTGTATGCAAACAGCCCATATGCGCTTCTTCCACCTTATTCATCACCCTTACTACTTCCTTTTATCATTCCTCATCTGGTTTTTCTTCTTAATTTCTTGCCAATCTGTTTACACGACATCACACCGTATGTTAAGGTGCCCTCCTTAGTATAATAGTAGTATTACCGAGAGAGGCACTGGAGACAGACTGCTCTGCACTTCTCTTTGCTTTACTCCCCGACAATTTTACTCAATGTCTTTGTGTCTTACATGCATAATATGATATATTTATATCAAATTACAAGTCCTTATGTTTCCTGACCTCGCTAATCGTGGTGTTTAAGACAATTATAATAATAATATCCAAAAAGAAAAACGCTTATGTATCTCTTTATTATTCATAAAAGGTGCTTTTGTATTGCCCGTCTTTGTAGATCAAAAGAGAAATATCCACCATGAAGTTGATCAAACATCCAAATGTTGTCAGTCTCATTGAGGTAACTGCTCTTGATGCCACCTACTCCTCAACCAATGCAAATCCCCATTGCGCTTTCATTATATACTACTCTGTACTCTCTTCTCATTTCCTCAACTTCTGTTGTTTTGTGTATTAGACCATTGTGAGAGTACGTATGTGGACACCAAAGCACTTTGTTCACTTCATTAACAGCTTAATCTCTTTTTTCATGATGCAAAAATGTATCAATTCCATTTCATTGAAAACATACTCAGGAGACATGCGCACCTGACAAAACCTACGCATATGCCATCCAGAAGAATTTCATACCTCATGGACTTTGTCTAGTACAGATTAGTTTATAATATCCTTCTTTATAAATAGCACAAGGTTAGTAATTCAATTTATTTCTTTTTGTATTTTTGTTTTTCCACTTAGGTTATGGCAAGCAAAACGAAGATCTATATCGTTCTTGAGTATGTTGATGGAGGCGAGCTTTTTGATAAAATAGTAAACATCTGTTCTTTAACCTTGCTTTAGCAGCTCAATCTCTCTTTCAAGACAAATAAATGTACTTTGATCCATATCAGCCCGAGACAGCTTCGTGGTGCAATAGCTGAGATCAGTTTAGTAATTTGCATTGACTTTTCTTTCCAGGCAAAATACGGGAGACTTAAAGAAGATGAAGCCAGACGGTATTTTCAGCAGCTTATAAATGCTGTGGATTACTGCCACAGTAGAGGGGTGTACCATCGAGACTTGAAGGTTTAGTGAAAATTTATATGCTTTATGCATTGGATGGATTTATCTTCAAGAATTACAATCTTGGTGCGTTAGGCTTTATGTCCACTAATATTCTCTTCTGCCTTAATCTACTGCAGCCTGAAAATCTACTACTAGATTCATGTGGTTCACTTAAAGTTTCCGACTTCGGATTAAGTGCATTTTCCAAGCAAGTCCGGGTAAGTTTATTGGATCTTGGGAGGAATGAACTAGAGAGACATTGTCATTATGCGTTGGTGGTTTACTAGTTGATCTTTTGTCTGTTTCTAGCCGATCTTTTGAAACAGCATTGCACTTTAACCTAAGATAATAAAGAACATTACGAACAAAAACTCCTTCTATATGGTCGGAGGGGCTTTTCTTTGTTGAGTACTACTAGAATGTTAAGGCATCCGGTTGCTAACAAAATTTATTTATCAATTTCAGGATATGTAATTTTCCCTTTTTGATTGGTGAATTTATTCCTATGGCAACTACTATTTTCATGAAAAGTTAATATTGCAATGCATTCATGATTCGGTTTTCTGGGAAAAACAACATTTCCGAGCTTCACTGGCATCCATTGATGGATTCAAGACTTCCATATTGGGGGCTCAACCCATAGGTTGAGCATATAAAATATGTTTATGGAGGACTGTTGTAACCTTTATTTTAAAAAAAAAAAATCTATTTGTGTATATTTATGCTCGTAATTTTATTTTTTTTGGTTAAAGGGGAAGTTTTGAACCTAGGATCTCCTACTTATAATCCCTTCCACCTTACCACCTAGTGCAACCCTTCCCCCCATGCTCATAATTATCTTGTATGTAAATAATATTCTACATTCTATTAAGTAACACATGAGAATTGACTATTAATTATGCTAGAATTCACTGCAAATAACACTTTAGCACCTTCAGCTTTTCACAATTTATTTAATCGACATTGAATACGATAAAGGTAAGATTAACATGCCAAAAAGAAAGAAAAAGAAACAGTCCGGAGAATTAGAGCGAAGAAATGATTGATGAATTTTACTTTCAGGTGCTGAAACGCCTTTTAGTAAATAATTGACCATAACTGGAAACTGATAAGACACATACGTAGCAAAAGCATATGCTTATTTTAAAGGTATTTTTGTTATATGATACTATTATTTCTTTTGATGGAGCGGAGGGTGTGTTTCACACTTTTGGCAGGTATATCCATAAGCAGATCTAGAAAGGATTTTACTTTGAAGAGTAGTGTAAGATCTTTAGAGATTTGAGTGGTGGGCGTTCGGGCATTAGCCTAACCTTAAGGATCCATAATGGTTTAAAAAATTAGATAACAACTTCATCCTTGCTTAAATCCTACATAGTCAAGCTCAAAAGTTCTAATTTCCCATATTGTCATTTCCTGCCCCTTTCCCCTGTAATTGTCTTATGAGTAATGACCCGGTTAAAGCTAACTAAAAACGAATACTTAGTCTGAAAAGTTTATAAATTCTGATTGTCCAGACAACCTGGACTAGTTGTATGTATCAATATAAGAAAACCAAGACAACAAAGCAGAATGTGGTGAAGTTGATTGCTTCAAGCTTTTGAGGAACGACCAGATACATACATTTCCTGGGATACTCTAAGACTTTAAATCTGGTGTATTTGATTTGTCAGCTCCTACATATTTGGTTTTTGGACCATCAATTGTTTGGTGAGCGTGACAATAAATGTTAATAAAGGCCAAGAAGCTCATACTTCTTGGACTCTGTATGCATTTAGATTTTCCAAGCATTGGAGCAGATATGGATGCAGTTGCATTATTTAAGCAAAAGTAAGTTTGAGTTTGCTACTCTACCTTGGGTGTATTACATGTAGATTTGATGTTTCAAGTTCTAAAATTGGACACAAATAAGTTGCATCATGACTAAATAAGGAGGTAACATACTGCACATTCTGTGCTGAAGAGAGGTACGTGAATATATTGTTTATTTTATTTTTTATTTTCTATTTTTGTAGGCGGATGGGTTGCTTCACACTGCTTGTGGCACACCGAATTATGTTGCTCCTGAGGTATAAGCCACAGCTTTTAAAATTCAAAACTTGTGAAACAAAAATCTTGAGTTTGAGATGGAGCTTCGTCTCAGGTTCTTACTGACAAAGGCTATGATGGTACATCTTCCGATGTGTGGTCCTGTGGGGTCATTTTATTTGTCCTAATGGCTGGATACTTGCCTTTTGATGAGCAAAACCTTGTGGCTTTGTACAGGAGGGTAAGCTTTAACAATTTGATTCCCATTTTGGAGTCCTCCACAGTGATATGAATGTTTTCTGTTGACAAATTAATTTTCCAGATTCAAAAGGCTGATTTCTGCTTTCCGACGTGGTTTTCGTCCAGTTCAAAGAAGCTGATAAAACGCATTCTTGATCCCAATCCACTCACTGTGAGTTCATATCTTCAGTAATATTTTCTTCTTCTATTTTTTTCGGAGAGGTGGGACTGGAGAATATTGCTGTCCACAAGGTTTTTCTTTTGCTCCTAAATATACAATACTAATATTAGAAATTGAAAATTTGAAAATACGCGAAGTAAGAGAACCAAGGGAGAAAGGACTTATTCTCAACAGGCCTGGTCGTTGTACATATGACATTGCTTTTCCTTGGCAGAGAATCACAATTCCAGAAATCTTGGAAAACGATTGGTTCAAGAAAGGTTACAAGCCACCGCAATTCGAGCAGGAAGAGGATGTAAGCCTTGATGACATAGATGCAGTTTTTAATGACTCCGAGGTAACTCATTTAATCTTTTATGCACCTTAGAAAGCATTTCAAATGGCCAAGGTGATGTTTGTCTCTATTTGTAAAAAGGCTTGACCTGGTTCTGAGGGATATTCTACTGCTGATAATGCTAGCTGATCTGTTCTTTTGTTGGGCTACCAAGTTCTAAAGGAAGAAAATCCTTTTAAAATGATTTTGAAATCAAATTGTACTTGCATTTTTTGTGGCAGGAACATCTTGTTACAGAGAGGAAAGAGAAACCTGTATCCATGAATGCCTTTGAGCTTATTTCAAGGTCACAAGGTTTCAGTCTGGACAATTTATTCGAAAAGCAGATGGTATGTTGTCACAAATTATTCTCTCTGTGTCTTCCATGCCCATCATCCTTGGTTTGATTGGAAATGTTTATATTATTCGTGCTAAGAAAGCAGCTAAACTCTAGAGGAATAGAATTTTGTTCCATTGCCAGAAAACTTGTGAATAATGGAAATTTAAATCGGTTTCATAAGCATTTTCTTACTTAACTAAGTTCTTAAGTTTATATAGTTCCAATGTGTCTTAAAAGCTGTATATTATTTGTTAGCTATTATTTTAAGCCAGCCAAATGCCAATCGTAGCACATATCGAATTCTAGTTTGTTTATCCTGTCAATCAACGTGTGCTTTCAGTTTCTCCATAGAGCAAATGCAATTAATTTGTGCTTACAACTTTCGCTTTCTTTGGATATTTCACTGTACAGGGTCTTGTGAAAAGGGAAACACGATTCACTTCCAAGTCTCCTGCAAATGAGATTATATCTAGAATTGAGCAAACTGCAAAACCACTTGGTTTCAATGTTCACAAGAAAAACTATAAGGTATAGTTGTCATTTCTTATCCACTTAATGTTCAAATGTTTATTGTTTGTTTGATGCTGGCTTTGACTTCTTTTTAACATCCTTCAAAAATTAATGGGGATTAATTTGTCATTTATGCTCAAGGAATCACCTGTTGTCATGTCTTCTGATATTTTCATTTTGCTATATTTCAGATGAAGTTACAAGGTGACAAGACAGGTAGGAAGGGCCATCTTGCAGTAGCAACAGAGGTAATGACCTTAGTTCTTTTCTTACTGGAAAACTTGCAATTTTTCATTTATTGCTCCTGCTAGCAACCCAGGAATTAGCCCTTTTCTTTTTTCCTTGTCCCTCTTCTTCCCTTGTTATTTCTTATGCATGACAAAGTTGTCCAAAATTATTATTCTGTTATTCTACTACCTTCCTCGAGCCCATAACTTACCTCAGGAAGCCATTGACCCACTTTGAATAGTTTGACCCATGAACTCTTAGCTTGCAAGATTGGTTTGGAAAATTCCAATTCCGTGAATTTGGTTACTACCTAGCAAACACAGTCTATGCAGGTACTCATATGTCCCAAAGAGGCATTTCGTTCAGCTGGTACATAAAAGCTTGCCCAATGCAGGATTTTTCTTTAGATTGGTTCACAAATAAGAATTTCTCTCTGACGCAACTTGTTTGTACTGAGGGTTTTCCTTTTGATGACTAACAAATAATTCATTGCTTTTTGCTCTCTGACATGCATTACAGTTGCATTATGGCGTATGTAATATTTGTGTAGCTTAATTCATGTTCTTGTTATTTCTTGTTAGTGTTTAGCGGTTAGATGGACTCGGTTTTTGCTTGTACAAAGAGACACACTTGTTACTTTGGTGCAAGATAAGATTTGATGATCTGATCTTTAATATACTCAGTTTGTATTTTGCTTGATATATTTCCAGATAGTTTGTCCCTTAGTTCTCCTTTTGTTTTCACCCTTTGTTGCTTTTCTTTAGTTATCCATTGCAGGATATAAAGCATGAATTTTCTTTTATATGGTTTTGTTACTGCATCTCTCTCGGGCCATTAGTCAATTATAGTGGAATTTTTTTCTTCACCATCTTGAGCCTTTTCTTTTGTTTGATATGGACTTCTCTATGGGATCTTTGGTGCGCATGGATTAAGTGCTTTGCCTTTGAGGTGCCCTTCATCTTTTAGAGAGTCAGTTTGACTTCTATGCTTCAATTTTGTTTTTCTTCTTTCTTTTTCTTTATTAATTTTGTTGGGAAAAACTTAGGGAAGTAGACTTCTGGATCTCCACCATCAATAAAATCAAGCATTCTTTATTGTCAATCTGGAACGGGATGTCAGATTTGACATGTTTCTTCACTTGCATTTTCTGAGGAGGCCACTTGTGGAAAAAGGATAAATGTGTTTTTGTCCGCAGGGAGGATTTGGTGTTGGTACAGGCAGAAAATTTGGAAGTCTTGGGGCCATTATGATGCTGATTAAAATGTTATTTCTCGTCAAACATCCTAAGCTGCTACTAGCTACGTCCTAGTTTAATGGGAAAAGTGTATTCTTGGACATTCTTATACAGCTTGAGGGCTGATGTAGCTGTTCTATAGTGGGAAAAGTGTATTCTTGGACATTCTTATACAGCTTGAGGGCTGATGTAGCTGTTCTATAGTCGCATCTCATGATACGTAAAGGTTAACCCCTCCATACAAGGTCCAGAAATTCCATAACAAGCACCCCTCCTTAGAGGCCGACGTCCCCGTTGGCCTGGTAATTCAGGGCTCCCCCTCCTAGTCAGAGTCCTGCGAGACTCGAACCTGGGACGTTGGGGTTATTTGTCTGGCTCTGATACCATTGATACGTAAAGGTTAACCCCTCCGTACAAAGGCCCAGAAATTCCATAACATCTCACCTGATAATCCATACCTTGCATATGAGTTACAAAGCATCTTACTCTTGGTCTTTGAGAAGGTCCTTTGGTAGTCAGATTAATAATCAAGAAAGTTTCCAAGGTTATATTCAGGCATGCAATGAGAAATTTGATTTAATTTGGCTATTGTGTGGACTATTTGTATATTGCTTAGTCCATATCGTTTCTGTTTTGTCCTTGGGACATATTTTTCTTTCTCCTGCTTTCAGTACGATATTGTACCTAGAGCTAACTCTGCTGCTTTCAACTGAAGGTTTTTGAGGTTGCTCCCTCCTTGCATATGGTGGAGCTCCGCAAAACAGGCGGTGACACTCTAGAGTTTCACAAGGCACGTCAAAGCTTTAGTTTGTTGAAATGTGTGTGTATTTTATGAGTCGATTTGGCAGAACGAACTCATTTGACACTTTAGCAATTGGCATTTAAATGGCAGTTCTACAAAACCTTCTCTTCGGGATTGAAGGATATTGTTTGGACGAGTGAGCAACAATCCGACGAGACAAGGTGATTCCTCTGCAAAGCAGCACACCTGACACCGCTGGGAGTAACAACAATATGTTCGGTGGTCATTTTTTTCTTTTATCTTTCTGGTCTCTTATTGAAAAGCTCGCGTTGCCAATTCGGTTAATTGATTCTCAGGAATTGACTTCTCAAATTATGCATAGTAAGCAGTAGAAACTCTAGGATGGTCAAGTCAGGTTGTGATTATGACATGAGATAGTACTAGTATTAGTTTTTTTTTTTTTTCTTCTTCTTCTGAATTTCCAGTCCTTTCACTGTATTGGCTACGGATTAATTTGCCTATAAAGAAAGTGGAAGGAAGGAAGGAAAATTGTGGGTCTTCGGATGCATACATCTCCAAATGGTGAATCAATAGAAGAAGATCCTAGAGGCCAAAGGCACACCACCATTGCCAGTAAGGCACCATTTGGAGATGTATTTTTAGTAGTAGTTAGAAGTTGTGAATAATTTTTTGAAGGAAAAAAAAAAAAAAAAAGTCCGATAAATTTGAATCTAAGAAGTTCCAACTTGATGATAGTGGCATTATTGGGTGGATGTCAATAATTATTGGTTTGTGTTAAATTTTTTATAACAATCATCAGCATATCATATGCTCGTGTTGTTGTTATGGACGAAAGATACAGCACAGGTGTCCGTCCAGACGAGACGAGAGACGCAATGACAACTGACAAGACAAGACCCTCTCTCCAATCCTCCTCGTACATTAATTAATAATTAACAAATCAATAGTCTTGAAACTGCCCCAACTCCGAACCACCCACCAATGTTATCAGTATCAGAGTATTTATTAACTTTTGTGCCTTTCATTTCAGGTGTCCCCTCCCCTCCCCTCCGTTAATGTTGTTGGCCGGTGTCCCAAACAGTAAAACTCGAACCAACTTTGGCTGATTTTGAGTTTTGATGAGTTGCTTAAAAGTAAGCAAGCACTAAGCAGTAGTAGTAGTCACCTACTAGTATAGTGTATTAGTTAAGAAAGAATAGGATGCCCACGCACTCTTCCCTCGTTTTTTTTAATACTGTATATAATTTGGTTCAACGAATCCACAATTTCTCCTTGCTCCACGTCTCTCTCTGATATTCTCCAAGCAGCATGCCATATTGCCATCCAGCCACCCATTTTAGATTATCGGCGACAAGTTATCCCCCGCCGCCTACAACAACACTCCCTGCTGTAGTTGTAGCCGGTGACCTGCACTCAAACAAAGACTCCCCATTTCCCATTAATAAGATTTCTTTTTCATGTTTGCTTTCTCGCCACTTTTTTACAGTCTAACACGACTGTACTACTTTTTGAAAACCAAATCCAACCTTCCACATCACTCATCCTCTTTCACAAAATTTTTTTATTTTAATGTAACGACATTTCTAATCTAACTCTAAGAGGTGATCCAACTTACACACTCCTTTTCTTCTTCTTCTTCTTCTTCTTTTTTTTTTTTTTTTTTTTTGTAAATAACCTCGTTCTTTTGATTGGAGCCTCGATCATAAAGATGATAGTTAACCAATTATTGCTCCACTACCCAAACAAATAAACTACTAATAGACAGTGGTAGATGCGCAAATATGCATATGCTTCCACGCATGATTGTCAGAGCAGTGTCCTGCTTTGACTGTTTGACACACTACATCCACATCCTTGGACCTTGGAAGCAAATCATACTGCCCGGCCCTGCAAAGTCAAAAGCCCGCGTTCTTGTCGACCACGCCCTTTTTCCTTCCATTTATTTTCTCTTTTCCTCCAAGCTAATCTAAGATACAGTAAAATATTACTAGAAAATTGTTGCTTGACTCGTCTCCCTTGCAATTTGCGACGAGGAGGGTTTTCTATGGTCTTCTTAATTGATTTTCTGGTAGCATTTTCTTAACTACTCTTCTGAGAAAGTAAAAAGATACAATGCGGGTGAAAAGGAACGTGCAACTAACGGTTGAGTACACACAAACGCGCACTACCAGGCAGAGCCACGCACAGTACTAGTAGTATTTTGAGAGAGCTGCAGTTTTAGTTCCCAATGTTTGACATTTGTATAATTTTTGTCCCTAAAGTTCTGAAAAAAAAATCCCCAGTATTTCACACCTTGTTGGATTTTAGTTCCTAAAGTTTCGACAAAAAACAAATTTGGTCCGCGATACTTCCAATTTGAAGCAGACTTGGAATAATTGACGGATTCTCCCAAATACTTATGGAATCTAATTTTTTAAAACAAAAGCAAAAAAGTGACAATTTTTTAACAATAAAAATAATTCATGTGATGACTCATGGGTAACTAATTAACCAAGAAACAGAAAATAAGAAAATTTGTTAAACTCTACACGAAAATTTGATGACTCATTCCGATTGGTTTCAATTCTGAAGTTTAACAGTTTTTTTTATTCTTAATTAGTTACCACATGAATTAGCAATCCTTGATCGTGTTTTAAATTTAGCTGCTATTTTACTTTTTTTACTTTTGTATTTAATTTAACGGCACATAGTTGCACGTGACTAAATTGTGTCAGTAATTCTTCATATGTCTTAAATCTGCTTTAAATTGGATATATTGGGAATCAAATTTGCTCTTGCCAAAACCTTATAGCCTAAAACTGTACAAATGCTAAACACTATGGACTAAAACTGCATTTCTCCCTATTTTTTTTTAATAGCCTCCACCGTGTTTTCTTTTTTGACGAACCACAGCCTCCACCATTTTTTTTTCTTTCTTGATATTTACAATGACTTAAGAATGAGATCAATTTATGGCTCCTACGAACTAGTATTGGATGTAAGACTTGCCTCTTTTAGAGGCAATTGCGACCCATATGATTTGATTCTAAAGTGATTAATATTCTGATTAATTGATTGATATTTTGTCAATAATTTATTAGTATTTTCTATTTGTTAATGATTGATTGGTATCTTCTGCTAATTGATATCTTATTCAATCAGTTAATCAATCAAATCAATCAATTAGTCAGAAAAGGTTATGAATTATGGCAAGATTTCCTTAATGAAAGGGAACCCCATGGATTTGGTAATTGCCAGTAAGGGTCCCTAACCTAACCTATAAATAACCTGTGGTTGTTCATCAACACTACACTTTTTGGTCAGACATAGGTTAGAAACTCCTTACTTTAACTTCTTCTTCTATATATTTTTATTTTTATTTATTTAAAATAGACAAGAAGGAGTCAAAAAAACAAGAACAGACTAACTTGTGCTTAACAACAATAGTTAGAAATAAGTCTATTTAGATTTTCGCTGCGCAATACATTAATATGTACATAGTTAGTTTAACACGTGGTATTAGAGCCAACCTTTAGCCATGTTGTTCAGCCTATAATTTCATGGCTTATTGGCTATCTGAGAAAAGTTTCAGCGATTCGTATCAAATTTAAACTAATCGAATTTAATTTTCCATGGGATTTATGGTCTTATTTTCTCAATAGTTGAGATTTATTAACTCATTCCATGCATATATATTATTCATATGATATTTTATTTGGCTATGCAGTTCGTTCAAATTTTCTCCAATAATCTGGTACGATTACAAGTAATTTGAATATTTTTTGGACTTACATATTTGTGATTGCAAGTGTTATATGTATTGTTTGTTGTTATCAATATAATATAACAATTCAAGAATCATATAAAGAGTTGTTATATTCTACAACCCAAAGATTAATAATATATTAATCTATGCAAGATGATTGGCTGGTTTTATATGAATGGATCTACATGTTTATTGAATATCTAATGTCTTATTATGAGATAAATATCTAAAGGCATAATTTCAATATCAGTTTTGCCTCTATGTTTTTGTTATTATTTGAAATTACGTAGTATTTCTGTACACTACACTTATGTTCATTTATTTCATATTATGATGTCAATATTAGTATGGTTGATTACATTTGAATTTCATAGAATTTTCTTTATAAAGTTTTTCTTGCATCTCAATTATTTGATGCAGAAAGTATTTTAATCACATAAAGATTGGTGATTAAAGGTGTATAAAAAAGGAAAATTAAAATTTTTTTTGTCAAAATATGAATTATTTGACTATTTTGATATCCTTATAAAATCTAGCACACTGTATGTTTAAGAGTAGCCATAACATTTCAAACATTGGTGTATTATAATTTTGATCACATATAGTTCAGTGATTAGAATCAAGAATTGCTAATCAATAAGTTGACTACTTATGTTCTATGAATTTTCACAGGAAGTTTTCGTGTATCGTATATTTAGGAATAGTCATAGCATTTCAAATATATGGTGTAAAGAGTTTTAATCACATAAGATTAAGTGATTATAAAAGAAAACAAAATTAATGAAATTCAGTCAACATAAAGTTTTTTTACTATTAACAAATAACAAGATGTCATGCTAAGAATTTCACTTTTACATTATATATTTAGAAGTAATCACAGCATCCCAAATATTTGATGTGAAAAAATTATCATCACATACAGTTTGATTATTGAAATTGTGAATTTTTAGTCAACATATTAACTAGTTGACAATTTTTCTTATAACGCTGTATACTTAGAAATAGTCATAGCATCTTAAGTATATTGGTGTTTAGAGAAATTTTATATATTTTTTCACGTATTGTTGAGTGATTAAAGAAATTAAAAAAAAGAATCTATATCAAGTTGAAATTAATTCACTAAGATAGCTATCTGACCCCATAGGGACGTAATTATTTTGGTGAGATTAATTGACATAATATGGTAAATTATACAGCAAATTAAGAGATTTTTTTATGCCTACAGGTATGAATTATTTTTTCAATTTATTGTTTTAGATTACTAGTCTTATGATTAAGGAAAGTAAATTCTATGCATTTTGCAACCTTTGCCCACAGGAGAGTTTGAATTTACTATTTGAATTGACATAAAATTGATTCAAAATCAAGTCATAACATTTTTATGATATAGTTCTTGATTGTTAATTTAGTGTTTCATTTCAATGATTTTATGGTTCTTATTAGCTTGACTTTTAAATTCATTCTGCTTTGTTTTGGGTGCAAGTTTTAAATTAGTACTTTGATGAGAATAAACAAATCATTCTCATAATATGGATATATTTGATAATATAGAGGTTGAGTGTGAGAATTAGGAGCAATTAAATAGTTTGGTCATTCTGTCTCATATTCACATAAAATAGGGTCCAAACCCTAATTATCTATAGTTAAATCTTGGATGAAAGTCATAAAGAAATCGTTGCAAGTTTTAACTAGCATCATTTGAAAACTTTCTTTTGTGATACTTAAATATTGAAGTGTATTTTTAAAAGATGAGAATTTCGCTAGATCATGAATTAAAGTCTTATTAAATTGAGATTGA